CAAGCCTTTCGCCTATTCGACGTGGTCTGCTGGCCACCGCGTTACCAGATCTTTCGGTATGGTGTTGAACTGAATGAGAAACTGTGTGGCCATCAATTTTCGAAGGTATCTTTATGACGTCGACAAACTCTTTTAGAACATTGTAAAGATTGTTTGCTTTATTAAGCGTTGATACTGTAAAAATACGTGTATTGATGAGACCCCCACTCGTTGTGAGGCCCGTTGTCGTGTCAATGATACTTTTGTTGTTCAGATCAATCAGCAATTTATAATTCGCCTAAAAATCTGCGCCTATCATTGCAGTGTGTACGTCAGCTATTGTAAATAGCCAGCTAAATGATCATCGTAAGCCCAAATCGATATGAAAGGGTTGATTACCATAGGTTTGTATAACCGTGTGATTCGCTGCATACAATTGTAAGTCGCATTGTTTGATTTTATTATTTGCTAACGAGCGTGGTATGACAGACACCACCTATCCAGAATCAATAAGAAAATTAAACCCGGATTTTTTACCGCGAACGTATAAGCTCATCTCATTAGTCTGCTTGTTTTTGTTGTTTTGAATGTTGGGACAAAGAGTTGTATGGTTAACGCTGCAAATTTTGCGGCTGTTGCCAATAAGCGTTATTGGTGACAGCCGTTTCATTTTGACGACTTGTAACGCGTACAATTATGGCAGTATTTCCTGGCGTTACCTCCAAACTTTGCATGAAAAAACCATAGTGCTGGTTGCCCCTCAGCATGGAGTTTCTTTGCAGATGCTTTTGGGGTTGCCTGGTGAGACCTGCTTCGGCTTCTGGAAGATTTTAAAACTTTTAGCTCGTTGTCATTTTACTCACCTTTTCGATAAGCGACTTCAAAGCTGCACTCATTTCTGCCAAAGACATCGTGACAGATACCCCCTGGATTGAATTGTCGGATGGGGACGTTTGCGTTGCTAGTATGCTACTTGTGTTAGTTGCCACTGCTTCGAGCATTTTGTCTGCTATCTTCGCTAGTTTTTCAATGTCCTTCCCCTCCCAAACGCTTAAAACTGGACGTATGGACTGTGGCATTTCGCCGATGAATAACGTATGAATGATTGCTTCGCTTCCGGGATCAGGAGCCAGCCGATGCATGTAAGACAAAATTTCTGTTGGCTTCATACCTGCTGTGCTACCTCCTTGTAGCAAACGACGTAGTTTTGACTCAGCACTTTCCGCAAATTTGTCAAGTAACCGTGTTTTCAAGGCGTCGTATTTGTTCGTTTGTGGTGGCTTTGTTATGAGGTCCTCAACAAAGAATGTGATTTCATCTTCGAGATGTATGGTGGCAAAATCGAATTTATCGTCGTCGCATTGCACTTTGTACAAACCGTCCGCTCAAGTTGAGCGAACCACAAGTGCGGATTACTCTTATTAAATTTTGGCACGATTAAGTTACCGTGTGGCCGCTGCAAATCCCTTTGCATGTTGGGCTGTGGCTCGTGCATACTCTGAAGACGTTGACATTCTAATTCCAGGGCGCGCAGTTTTTCAGGGAGCTCCTTTTTCAGTCTCGGACATTTTTATATCTTCTTTTTCAGTGAAGGAGCGCAAATTGTAGCGGGAACCTGGAATCAAACAGAACTACCGTTATGGAATAACTGTCCGTTGTGAGATTCGGTGAAAACGGCAGATTTTTCGAATTCCATTTCTGCTGTGCGAAAATTGATACAATTCCCGATCACGTCTTGGTCACCACTTTGGTTGTTTCCTTATATCGCAATAAAAGTAACTCCGTAACGTTTAATGCTTAACAAGCATTTATTCATAAAACTAAATATTAAAACTATATTTAATCAAATACAAATGTGCTGAGTATGCAGCCAATCCAAAAAGAGAATATCAAGAGTAGTGATTTATAATATTCAACAGAATAGCTACAAAAGGAATGTCAAAATAAAAGTGTTGCCAGACGTACGCTAACTAAAACAATGTGCTTGCAGTTTGATACATAGATGGCACAGTGTTGCCATCCGATCCGGTACAACTACTTGCGGTATCTTCCTCTAGAGTCTTTGATATGATACCTACAGACGAAGTTGATATCTAGAGTAGGTTGTATAGAAGCTTTGCCATAATACCTTTGCTATAAATGGTGTCTGGATACACAACATTGTAAGTTGATTAAAGCATTGTAAAATGGTTGCATACCTTTAGGATATTTTTTAATTTCTTCAACAGTGGGGGCTAAAACCTATATACTTATTTCTAAAAGGTATTTTTCTGTTACCCAACGATATCTCCTTTAATATTTTTAAAATTTAACGAATGATATCTCATTTTGAAGGAGAGGAGCTCACGTACCTGCGAAAAATAGTCACGTTGTTAAATTTTAGTTATTTATTAAAAAAATGGGGTTTAAAAAGCTGAAAGCACTGTATTCGGACAATGAAGCGCCATATCTTCTCTAATACTCCAACTAATTCAGTAATTCCCAAAGTGGTCCAGGTGGACCCCAGGGGTCCACGGGAGACTTGACGGGGGTCAACGTTGGCATGAAAGAAATATGGGGGTCCACGAGTTGGAAGTGGGGGTCCACGAAAATGTATCTGGTTTCGATAGTAAAGAACCAAATTGGTAGCTTGATAGCCTTTTATTTAACTTTAATTTTGTTTAGTGTTTTATAAAGCTATTGATGCACTGCTACACTTACCGTCGCTTTGTTTTTTCATACGTGGGGAAGCCTTAAATTCCACCTGCAGACTAAAAAGAAACGGACTTTGGTATAACACTGAGTGAGGCGAGGCGAAAATGGCTGGCGACAGAGATTTGAGATCCCTGAGGCTGTATGCTGGTTTCATTCCAGTACTGAGCCCGTACTCACACATTTTGGAATCTTCACTGATGACTCCAGAACTAACTCTGGGTCAGGAGCTGGAGTGTTTTTCGACGTTAATGTGGATAAGCTTCCGCCTTCCAGGCCGAGGTATTTGCAATGCTCAAAGCGATGGACTACGTGGTGGTAAATAGGTGGAGGAGTTTACCTGTCTGCAGTGATAGCCAAGCTGCCCAAATAAGACACATTACGAAGGAAAATCAAATTTTGTTATGTTTTCAGGTGTTAAGCGGTCGCAAAGAAAAGTTCCTTATGTTACTTTAGTTCACAAGATCATAAGAGACTGCAGTGTAGATTTAAACTACCACATAGTTCATGAAACTTAATTTCTGGTTTTTGCCTTCGTTTGCTAGGAATTGTAGAAAAAATTAAGCAAAACGAAGAAAATTTTAACATTTAAACAGTCAGAAAAAATTTATTATCAAACGGCAAAGCTGGACACAGCTGCAAATTAGAAAATAAGATCAAGATTAAATATTTGAATTTATAGAAAACGGAATAAATTCGACAGTCGAGCAAAAACATTGATTTTTATTAATTTGAATCGGCATCCCTACAACAAAATTTTTCATGCATACAAAGTCCATTAAATACTAAAATAAAAGTTTGGTGGGTTTTTCGAGAAAAAAACCGATTATTCTTGGGTTTTAGTGCTTTTTCAAATTCAAAACTTGGCAACACTGCTCTGGATGCAAATAAAAAACCAAGAAAGAAAGTTGGAGCAATTTTAATTTGAAGTTTGATTTATTTGAATTTTTGTTTTATTGTGGCGTATTAATATTTATTTCAATAGTGTCATTGAGCTTTGTACCACGATTTGTTTATTAAGAAAATTGGAAAAAACACCAAAGTTTAAGCGGTAGAAGTTATAGCTGCTGTTTCGGAGATCACCACGTCTCCTTATCTGACTTCCTTTTTCTTGACTTCTGCAGGGATCGAACCCGCATCATCGATGTGCAGAGTCAAAAGCGCAAACCACTGAGCTATGCACATCCCGTAAACTCTTGTTGCTAATCCATTTCCTTATTCAACCTACTGCTATCAAGTGCAGCTGATTCGTTAATCTTTGTTGTTTTTTGCATTTTTCCTACTAAACAAATCGTCGTACAAAGCTCAATTGCACTACTGAAAGTTTTATTATTTAAAATTTTGTGTGTGTTTCACATGGCACACTTTGATCTTAAAAAAATCTGTATAACTTTTTGACGCTTTAGAGACCAGATGCAACATCAAAATACACCTAAATGTTGTTTTTGTTCTAATACTTTACCTGTTTAATATGCCTTGATTTAACGCAAACATCTCCGAACACCATTAAGAAGTTTCACTTCAAAAACTTTAACGTCCGAACACTGTCAACAGCAACTGATTGATTTTTTTTGCCGAGGCACCAACGAAGCATCAGTCAATCATCAATTGTCGTAAGATGCTAGTATACATCATTATATAGGCTTACAAGTATGGAAAGCGCCATTTTGTTTGTTTACATTTGAAAACAGCTGAGATCACCTGATTTTCAATTCTCTCATTCTCCGCACAGAGTTACATTCAAGTTTCAGAAAAAACTTTAAAATGTAAATTGAGAAATATTTTAGAAAAATGTGTTTTTATTCATTTGAATTCAATAAAAAAGAAATTAAAAATGCG